GTAATCCGGGAGAAGTTAAATGTGCTAATAAGTGCGAGGGAAAAGGTTAGTCAAACCGTTTAAGTGAAAATATCATTGTCATCGTAATCACGTGATTAAGAGATAATTAAATAATTTCTTTGTTTATAGATTTGACAATCGTATCTGAAGGAAAATGTCCCTGTTTGTGTGCAAACACGCTGGAGTACATGCCAGTGTGTGCAAGCGACGGAAAGACGTATAGTAATCCGGGAGAAGTTAAATGTGCTAATAAGTGCGAGGGAAAAGGTTAGTCAAACCGTTTAAGTGAAAATATCATTTTCATCGTAATCACGTGATTAAGAGATAATTAAATAATTTCTTTGTTTATAGATTTGACAATCGTATCTGAAGGAAAATGTCCCTGTTTGTGTGCAAACACGCTGGAGTACATGCCAGTGTGTGCAAGCGACGGAAAGACGTATAGTAATCCGGGAGAAGTTAAATGTGCTAATAAGTGCGAGGGAAAAGGTTAGTCAAACCGTTTAAGTGAAAATATCATTTTCATCGTAATCACGTGATTAAGAGATAATTAAATAATTTCTTTGTTTATAGATTTGACAATCGTATCTGAAGGAAAATGTCCCTGTTTGTGTGCAAACACGCTGGAGTACATGCCAGTGTGTGCAAGCGACGGAAAGACGTATAGTAATCCTGGAGAAGTTAAATGTGCTAATAAGTGCGAGGGAAAAGGTAAGTCAAACCGTTTAAGTGAAAATATCATTTTCATCGTAATCACGTGATTAAGAGATAATTAAATAATTTCTTTGTTTATAGATTTGACTATAGTATCCGAAGGAAAATGCCCCTGTTCGTGTATAAATACGGAAGAATACATGCCGGTGTGCGCCAGCGATGGAAAAACCTACAGTAACAGAGGAGAAGTGAGGTGTGCTAACAAGTGCGAGGGAAAGAGTAAGTTGAATGATTTATGTAAAACCATGGTTGCAAAATACGAAACATACGATAGTTAATTTACTACAATTAATTTTTTTTTTTTTTTTATAGACTTGGAAATTATATCTCTAGGACCGTGCCCTTGTTCGTGTCCTAATACACGCGAGTATAAGCCAGTTTGTGCTAGTGATGGAAAAACTTACAATAACAAAGGAGAGGTGAGGTGTGAAAACAAGTGCAAAGGAAAGAGTAAGTTGATCCATCATCTACGCAAGATTATCACGTTGAACGTAAATTTCGCATAAAAACTTTAAACATGAATGAATCATTTTATTGTAGAACTGACAATCGAATCTGAAGGAAAATGTCCCTGTTTGTGTCCAAACACGCTGGAGTACATGCCAGTGTGTGCAAGCGACAAGAGGACTTACGTCAACATGGGAGCTATAAGGTGTCACAATCAGTGCAGCCGGCACCGTAAGAATAATATATTAGATGGTCATTCTAACCGATATTCGTAAACTTGTCCGGTAATACGATTATTCGAAATTTTTCAGAAATCACACTTGTAATGAAGAAACCATGCCGCGAGGATGACAAGCCCTTACCGTACTAGAGGAAGCAGAGCCAATCTCGAAGACTGTTTTCGATGATAACTACAGATGTGATTTGAAAAATTTTATGTACGTCAATATTTAGATGAATAAACTAACCGTTGATCATACGATGATAGCTATTTTTTTCGAATTGTGTATCGAAAAAGGTTCATTTCCTCAATGATAAACATTTAAAATGTGCAAGTGTGCCTTGCAGAGCAACAAAAGACAACGAATCCTTAGGGTCGATAAAATTTCTTATCACAGAACGCAGAGGTAGATAGAGATAAAGGAGCCCAATTTATAGTGAGACTCGCGGTCGCTTAATGAAATTATTGTTACCCACACTGGGATGTAATTATTCCATCTCTACCGCAAGTGCAGACAAATCACGCGGAGGATCATTTGTCCGTTTCGAGCTTAGGGCTTTTCCAACCCTCGCACACACACACACACTAACTTGTTTGTGTATAACGGGGCTAATTGAGATAACGCGAGCACACGCGATATTCGACTTTGAGAATTTTAATGCCACCCATTTGTCCGCTTGGATTACTTTGCCGCACGTGTGTGCTCGCGAGCTTCTAAGTAGTTAGGAGATAGGGGAAATGCATATAAAAAAATGTCAGAGACAACTAATGTTTATCATTTTCCCCATCCCCTAACGATGTATAAGACTCCGTCCTAGAGAAATTTAAATAAAGTAGGCAGGTGCAACAAAGTCTGGGTTCTTCGATTCGCAGAATATCTGGCCCCAAATATATAGCGACTGTTGCACGGGTTTAGTCGGCAGCGTAAGCGAGCATTTTTTGCCTCGAAATAAACTGTTGCTTCGATGATTTATTTGATGATGAACTTTATTGATTTATTTATTTGTAAAACAATAACCACCCGTGGCAAATGCGTTAGTTTTGCATGTACATGTTAGCAATAATTCAAGCCAAAACAAACATGACGCGCACTCGGAAGAACTTTCGAATATTCAACGATTTATTCATATTTAACTGTAAGTGCCATTGTACAGTACATGTATTTTATTTTTTATTGATTTTTTTGTAAAATTTGCACGAAAGGGAAAGAAAATTCCTCTTATTCGTGGATTTACAATTTACAATCGAAACAATTAATTAATATTTCAGTTGAGGAAACGAAGAAGGAAAAAAGGAGTGCGGGTCGAAATTAAATGAATTTCCGGGCTATGCCCGCGTGTGTCATCTAAGCTCCATAAATCTCTTTTTTAGAGAATCTGCCCATCAAGAAAAAGAAGAAGATTAAGGTATTCCTTTCGCAAAGACAAACAAAAATCGGGATCCAAATCGGATGGTCAGAAAAAAAAGATCACGGCCGTCGCCGCCAATACAAAAAAAAATCAGACGCTACCTAGAGTACAAGCCTCGCGCATATGATATAACGATGACATAGCGGGAAATTTGCTTGCAAAGTAGGAAAGTGCGGCCCGATTCTTTCTTCTTCCCAGTAATTTGGCAGTAGAACTGATAAGTTTCCTAATTTTGGCCTGCGAAAATGGAATATTTTCGAAAAAAGGCTCTTGCCTGTTGGAGAATACAAAATCAGATGGTTATCAGCGAATTTTTTTTTTTTTTTACAATACTTACATCAACTGTACGATGTTGCATTATTTGGTGAGGATATTGTTCTCTATCATGACAACTGGCACAGTTTTGTCGGCACATATCCTCTTACAACCTCCCCTCTTCTTTGTCAGTGCAGGTTTGCTTTTGGCAAAGACTTACAACCATAGCCATACGTATCTACTCTCCATTGACGGCATATCACTTAAACATGATTACTCAAAGAGTGGGTGTGCCATTAGCTTCGAGTTGTCGAATTCGACGATCGCTGCAGTTTATCGTGGCAAATAAGGTAGTAGACTCCCTGTGTGTTCATCAGTCAACACGTGCGAGTCAAAATGGTGGTGCACCCGCGTTAGATTGACGCGAAGGCTGACGATTGTGATTAATCGATCGATCCGACGCATGGTTGGGTCGACAGTTTTTCCAAAGAACTCTTTCAAAAAAACTCGATTCCTTTCTTTTTTTTTCTCTATAAAAAAGCTCACGCAAGCCCATCGGAGCTTCTTTTTTCGGTCGTACAGTACAATAGGTAGGCAAAGAGAAATCATGTTTGCGCACCAGAATCGCGCGTACGGAGCCAGTGATGTATACATACATGTACAGCGTTATGCAAGCAGAGAAAGAGAAGCATACACGTTGGAGAATGGAATCTAGGGAATAGGATGCAGGGAGTCGTTGTTTGCGCTCGGATTTTCTTTTTTCTTTTTTTTCTTTTTTTTTTAGTTTTTCAGTTTCCACTCCTTTCAAGGTACACCGTGCCGGGAGCCTTTGATCAGACTGATGGGAGTGTGGGTGCGATGAAAACCAATGCACACCTTTCGTCTTTCTCTTCAGTCGGCTGTATAACTTATCCACGGGGTGTGTAACTTATATACGTGTGTTGCAACTATGTGATATTATTGACGATTCGAGTAGATTGTTTTTTGACACAGTGCAGGTGATTTAACCGAGGGAAAAAGAATACGCTGTATACGTAGAAACGAGTAAACGAGGAACTGGAGAACGTAGCAAGGGAAAATCCGCTTGTTATCAACATATTGGTGTTTGATTTTTCCTTTTTTCTTCTTTCCGTCGTATATCACTCGCAATCTTGTTTGCGCTAGATAATACGCGATGCGTCACTCGGAAAAACATCGTCGACGCTATGTTACCACCCTTCCCTCCCCCTAGATCTTTTACCCAACCGCGTATACGCATTTGCTCCCCATAATTAACCACCGAACAAATTGCACGAATTACACTGATTGCCGCTCGCAGGCAGTTGCAATTATAGCCCAGAGTGGCGGTAAATGGCGTGTCTTTAACTTGCGATGACACTCGCACGAATCATAGCACCGTGAGGTGTACATATTATATACATATGGGGAGCGTCTTATCCACTGCTTGATCCGCGGTTTACACGGTCGCGAGATTCGGCTTAACTATATAATAACTAATAGATCCTCATATATTATATGGAGTCATTTGTCTACTGGGCTGTAAATCGTATTAATTAAGGATTAAGATACGCGCGAAAGGGATATCGCGCGTGAATTATAGCTGAACCGTGTATTTAATATTGTACACGCGTGTGTGTTCGAATCGCGTATTTTGGGGGGGGGGGATTTCTTGGCACGCGGTGACGATAAATTAGGCGATTTCGTGGGTATAAAGTTGCCCGATGGAATTTTCATGCGAGCCTGCGCGAGGCGTTTTTTTTACGTCTGGCGTGAACCTTGTTTCTGTATCTCTTATCGTGCCTTATGGATTTTACCTGCTACCTGATGATCGAATCAAATAATTTTTTTTTAATTTGTTTATTTGAAATAATACTATTGTAAGAGTACCTTTGTAAGAATGGTATTCCGATTAAGTAGAATAGACCAAGTCCAGTCAGACATCGCTGTTGTATTGGCGAAAATAAATTTTTCCCATCTGCATGAACCGTCCACAGTTTTTCATTCCCGCACAATCAATAAAAGTACATACTCTTTCACTTAAAACCACAGCTCTGTAGCATTAAAATATCGAAAAGCGATCCTAAAATGATGTATTGCGCGCAAAAAAATTTTAATAATGAACATCCATCAAAATACCTGTGCAGTAATTATCCAGCTACTTTTTTAGTCTCGATTCCCGATAAAAATGGGAACAAAAACGTCGATCGATACCGAGATATTATTTCAGCTATGCAAAAAATCGCGCTCCGCAAAAAAAATAGAGCCATATATTCGAGATGGCGTGAGAAAAACGTAAAAAGAGTATCGGGAAAAGGAGATGGATGTGCTTTTGGGAGTGTATGTATGAAAATTTCAGTAATAGGAGCACACGCACTCTTGGAGAAAGCGAAAAGAGAACTCGTCGGCTGCAGCTGCACTGTTAAATAATCCCAAGGCGCAACGGAGCCGCATGAAACATTTCGCGATCGAAAGTGCCAAAGCCATACCGCACTGGTATCCACGTCATCTTCCGCTTCTCTTTTTTTTCTCTTTTCTGCCAAACCCAGTGCTCAAATTTCCTTCTATTCTCGCGAGAACGCCATGATTTCTGAAGCGCACTCGGAAACAAAATTCTTTTTCTTCCAGAAATGAGATGGTTCTTCGCACGGATTTGCCGAGTGTCGTGCTCTTCGACTCAGGCATCATTTTAGTGTTCAACAAATTTTTTTCTCTTTTATCATTTTGTTCCACACGTTCCTTATATTCTGTCCACGTATACGCAAAAAGAGACCACATTGTTGATTTTGATTAAGATATTTTTATAAAACAAAAATACAGTGAACTTGTATCGAGTGCATGCAACCACCTGCTGCCCAAGTAAGATGCTAGAAAAAAAAAAAATAAAAACTTTGTTATTTACGAAAAAAAATTACTTTAATTTCTAAATTTTTACATTTTTCTTTATTTACGTCTGAAACAAAATTATGACTCAAACAAAGAATCTTGATTGTTCGCTACAACTTTATAATGAGAGGGAGTTGTAGACTGCAGTTCTGGAGCTTCTTTCGTAATTTGACACAAGGAAACTTATCCCAAAAGTTACGTTCCAATCCATGTTTCGAGCCTGACAAGTGCTCTCGGTATAATACCGTGTTCATAAATTCAACCCAAACTTCAGCCATGTTAGCGTCTTTTTTAATCCCCTTAGCATGAGGTGGAGTTTCAAAAACTTTTTTTACCTGAGACTCGTTGTAACTTTTATTTTTTAATACGTCTTTTAAACTTGCTTTTACTATAATTTTCATATTCCAGTTGTAAATTGTACTTAAAAAATTACGAAAACAGTGCAACGGTGTCGTTTACCTTGCGACTTTAGAGACATCGAAGATCAATTAATTTTGGTATTTATTATTATATAGGTAACATGTACAGATAAGATTTTCAACAAACAATACTGCTAATATGTGTTTTTTAACTTGTTAATTTTAAAAATTTTTTTGATTTCTATTTCTCATACTTATCTTACGTATTGATTTATGTATATAAGACTAGTCCATATAATATAAAAGAATCATAATACACAGTTATGAGGGACTTTTTTTTTTAACAGTTCTGGGATCACTCAACTGAGCTCAATTATTACCAAGTCCTTCGGGACTCTGCATACTAACTCGAAATTCCGTACGAGAAATATATTCAAAAGGTTCCTTTTTTGAAAAAAAACCTCGCTTTAAGCGAAATGTAAACACGAAATAGCTTGTTTTCTGCCCAACTTTTCATCGTAGGGCATTCATGCGTAATTTGAAATCAGCCGCGATTGTTGATAACTTTTAATTGAACTACTATAGCTGGGCTTGAGGCTCTACATCTACTGCCTACGTTAATTTAACTTTATCTCACCAACTGCTATTACAGAGGAGTTTAAGCGACACCTACATCATATAATTTGAGAGAGAGAGAGAGAGAGAGATATAGACCAAACCGAGTTGAATCCATTAAAGCATTAGCCGGTTGGCACTTACGACTCGCGCATTAACGAGCTACTGCTGGTTAATACACCATCGATCGCACGTAAGAGTGTTACTTCATGAAAATGGATTGTTTTTAATTAATTTTCGATATTTTAATCCTAGTAGGGCCCATTCGAAAATAGGTGTGTGTCGAAACAAACATGAAAGAGATTGAAAAAGATTGAGAGCAAAAAAAAAATTACTTCAGCCAGCGCGTGAAAGAGACAGAGAACTTTCAATTTTGTACATCGCCAAACAGCGTGAGGCAATAAAATTCTGTTTGCGTCCGTGAATGGACTTTCCCTCCCCCCCCCTTTTTTTTTTGCTTCCCTGAAAAGTCCTTTTACCTTTTGTCCGGGAAAACGATTTTTAATCTTCTCAAGAAAGTCACAGCCGAATTATTTGTACGTATAGTTTTTTTCTTCGTTCTCTCTATTTTATTTCTTACTGAAAATTCCGAACGAGTATATAATATATACCGATATGAATTTTTATTGAAAATCTCCTTCTCTCGGTACCTTTTTTTTGCATACCATTGTGTGTTCGATGAATAAAATTCTTTTCACAGATTCCAATCTTCCCCTCCGCTACGAAGGAATTAATAAGAAAAATCAAAGAGACTAAAAATATTTTGGATCAAAATTTTCCCACACCCTCTGGTATTTGCAAAACAAAAAAAAAAAACACTCCGAAACAACACTCCGGGACCGGTGTTTAAAACCTAAAAGTTAAGAGGTGCATTTTTCACGATGTACCAGGAAGGGTGGGTCCTTTACGACTCGAAGCAATTTTATTTCGACGAGCCACAACTAGCGACAGGGAGCCAATTAAACCCTGTAACGCCGTCCGACTCTCAAAGCGTAATTCCACCTACCGACACCCCCGAGTTCGGATCAATGAGACACAGCTTCATCCCTTTAAACTGCTCTTGAAATTAACTCCGTTGGTGTCCAACGTGGGAGGGTTCCGTTTAACGCGTCAATTCAACTGTATTTGTGGAATAAAAAAGCGCGTCTATCGGTAGAGAAATTAAACAGAGAAATAGATAGGTGCAAATGCACGTTTGAAAATTACGCTCAATCACAGAAAAAAAAGGTCAAGTGTAGCTCTTCTGTCATTCGACGAACGAAGCGGGCGGCAGATGCGCGCAAGCATTAAATTATTCGAGCGAATGGACGAACAAGCGCTCGTGTAATCGAGCTAAAATAGAGAGTACCTGCCGTGTCAATCCAAGAGCTGGAAAGTTGCAATTTGCGCCTTTGTCCTGAGAGACAAGACGCGATACCCGACTTTGTTCGCTAAATTGGCTTCTCGGATGAATCGGACGGTTTCGCAGGAAAGACTATTTGCGCGTCACATATTTCAGCTTATGGCAATTTTCCTGTTTACCGATTCGCTGTAGCTAACGGTCACTTCGGAGAAGAATCGGATGTCTGACTAGACTCGGACCTTTACTACTGAAGCGGATACTGACTCTACCAGTGAAGGCTGTGTAAAGCGAAGTAATGGATCGTCGCTTGTTTTCACAATATCAGCCTTCGTCGATGTAAATTATCATCCAGGAAAAATGAGGGTAGTCCAAAGATCAGAAAACAATACATCTAGAAACAAATAATTGTGAAAAATGTTACATCGTGTGATCGTTCTAATTCATATAGTAAGTAATTATTTGCTTATCACCAATTTGAGTTCAAGATGCTACCCTTAAAACACTTGCTACCCGGTTTGCTAGAATGTAAATACGTGAGATGGATGAAACAAGCCCCTATAACGCGACTATACAAAACACTTATATGTATGCCGAAACAAACAATGATTGTGAATCGTGGCGAAATCTGCAAGTCATTCGAGCCGCCTAATCAAAGCCGCCGACGCCGCTGCGAATCTGGAGGGTATAAAAGGCCCATGCAAGCCCACGTTAATCACTTTTGCCATCAGCAACGAGTCCGGCGCTTTGACTAGGGAGCTCTGCTCTTCAAAGCACTGTTGTAATATTANTAAAAATAACAAAAAAAAAAAAAAAAAAAAAAAAAAAAACATGGCACTGTACACAATGACGTACATGCAGGTGTTATATATGAAAATGAATAATTGGAAAAGCCCCTGGATATTAACCCCTCTTACCGTGGATACTTATTGGGGATTGCTAGTGTTTACAAAAAAATTTTCTTATCTCGATGAAACTTTCATTTCACGTGTATATAAAAGCTCTCGCCTGCTTCAAGTTACTTCAGTTGTTTGACAGAGTTTGAGTTGTCTTGTAAAACAACTAATTGCGCATCTGAAATATTTCGAAAAGGTATATTTTTCTTCAACAAATGTTTCGAAATTAGAAAAAAAAAATTTCGAAATATTTCATAAAATAAAAAGATTTTTTTTACTTGATCTAAAGTCATTATTTTTATTTGCATCAATAACTTGCATTTTGCAAAGTACCTTTATTGAAAAATTATAAAGTCTCCATCAGTTATCTATTCATTCATTTTTTTTGTAACCTTTACTTTTGTTTCATCATTTGTTTCGAACCAGGATTTGCAAATAATCCAAATCACATATCTAAATATTATGTTAAAATTTTTTTTTTCAGTGCTTAAAAATGTGTAAGTCAGTGATTATTTTTGCTGCCTTTTGCGGTAAGTCACATCCTCTTGCGTAATAGTATATCACCAATATGCTCGCCAACATGCAGTTAAGTTCAAACACCTACTTCTTTTTACAGTATTTTTAGTCAACGCAAACTTAGATACAACTGAGGTAAGCAAAACAACCGTGTGCCCTTGTGTCAATACAAAGGAGTACAGACCAGTATGTGCCAGCGACAAAAAGACGTATAGTAATCCGGGAGAAGTTAGGTGTGCCAATCAGTGCCAGGGCAAAAGTAAGCAAAAAATTACCATTGTAAGCTCATTGTGTAAGGGTACATTGTGCCGTTTTTTAATTACTTTCCTTCTCTCTCTATAGATTTGACAATCGTATCTGAAGGAAAATGCCCCTGTTCGTGTATAAATACGGAAGAATACATGCCAGTGTGTGCAAGCGACGGAAAGACGTATAGTAATCCTGGAGAAGTTAAATGTGCTAATAAGTGCGAGGGAAAAAGTAAGTCAAACCGTTTAAGTGAAAATATCATTTTCATCGTAATCACGCGATAAAGGGATGATTAAAAAAATTTTTTTTTGTAGATTTGACAATCGTATCTGAAGGAAAATGCCCCTGTTCGTGTATAAATACATTGGAGTACAGGCCAGTGTGTGCCAGCGACAATAAGACTTACGGTAATCCGGGAGAAGTTAAATGTGCTAATAAGTGCGAGGGAAAAGGTTAGTCAAACCGTTTAAGTGAAAATATCATTGTCATCGTAATCACGTGATTAAGAGATAATTAAATAATTTCTTTGTTTATAGATTTGACAATCGTATCTGAAGGAAAATGTCCCTGTTTGTGTGCAAACACGCTGGAGTACATGCCAGTGTGTGCAAGCGACGGAAAGACGTATAGTAATCCTGGAGAAGTTAAATGTGCTAATAAGTGCGAGGGAAAAGGTTAGTCAAACCGTTTAAGTGAAAATATCATT